TTGAATATGTGTGTGTGTGTGTGTGTGTGTGTGTGTGTGTGTGTGTGTATTTAAAAATTAAGCATATGTAACTGATTTATCTGAGGTTTTAAATTTTAAAAAACCCCGTATTTCTGCATAGGAGCAGGGTAAAGTGAGAGATTCTTATTTTTCTCTATCAAATAATTTCAGAGTTTGAAGCATATATAATGTGATACTCTAAAAGAACATCTTATGTTTATACATATGAAGCTACATATTGCTAAATATTTTTAATTAGTTGGCATTCAACAGGATTAGTTAAATCAGTACACCCCCAGAAGAGTTTCTGTGATAATGTATTATCTAAATTAGAGTGTTCAAAACAAGCGTAAAGAATTCTCGAATGTGCATGCATCATTTTAAACAGTTCACTTGCTTAGGGCAGGAAACTGAGCTTGGAGTTCTGATTTTATAAAATGAAGGTACAAAATGCAAAGTTAATAAATGATGTTATACTAACTTTCTCTGTTTCACCCAATTTAGAAAATAAGTGGCATTACACACACCAAAAAAATTATTGTGAATATGAAAAGAATTGGCAACAAATATGGCATCGGCATATAGAGAGTTGTGAAGGCACTGCCTTTATTCTGTTACTGAGCCAGGACCAGACATATGCCCCTTGAACTTCTGCCAAAACTATTAGGCAGAAAACTAACAGAATCGCTACTGATACTTCCATTCATGATTTATGATAATGGTTGCTGTGGAAGACTAAGTCATTTGCATTTATTGAGCTCGTTTTTTTGTTTATAGTTTCAGACATTGTAGAGGGTTGTAAAATCCATTAGATGATATGTATAGCACTAACAATAATAGCATAAAAATATACCAGAAACCAGTATAGCTCAACCAAGTACAGTGGGCATTCCTGCTGTCACTGTAGTGGGGTTGTGGCTAGTCTCATCAGGCTTCATTAGAGGAGAGTGGGCATTGTCCTAAAGACAGAGGAACGGTGATGCCCGGAGATTGGGTAAGAGTTTAGTTGGGATAAAGTCATGAGTCAGGTTTTACTAGAAGTCTTTCATTTAAACAGGCATTTTATGAGCAGCTGCTATCTTCCTGGCAGTGCTCACTTTGGAAGCTTAGAGAATGGAAGACAGGCATGTAATCGTATCATATGAGAAGTATAATAAAAGATGGTACAAAGAGCTCTGGAAATATAAAGGGAGGTTTCTATGTAAGAACCGTAGAAAATTCACTGGCTTCCATTTATCTAGCTGAGTTTACCCATAGATCTAGGTTTTGAAGCTCCCAAGAAATTTTGAGAATTGTTTTATAAGGATTTGGTTGATTATCTCAAATTTGAGGCCACAGTTAGTAAAGGGACATGAAAATCAATTACACTGTATA